TATGTACTATGGATCATGGTTTAACCTATTCATGTTAGCAGTGGAGAATTGTAACTCTATTACTGGAGTGTAGTGGAGGTGTGTGCTGTATATATGCACTACATATACACTACACACGTCCAGTACACTATAGCAATAGATTTACAGCCAGCCCCATCCCAGCTTCCCTTACTCACAGTTTCACTTCGATCCCTGTTGCCTCACGCGATGGAGCAGATCTCTGCTTCATCAGCTTCTTTTGGGGGGTCCTAGGTGTGGGGTCATCTGGCAGTCTCCGGCCACCTAAATTAGGACCCGGAGACTGCCAGATGACCCCGCTCGGAGCGCCGCCCACCGGAGCAGCAGTGACGCGACGCTCGGCGAGGTAAGTAAGAAGAAAAAAAAAACATAGCGCAAGCTTTGGCGCTAGGCTTCGGTGCATTTTGACAAGTACAAGTACTTGTCAAAATGCCCTGTATTGGGCCCGATTCCGATGCTAGCATCGGTATCGGGACATCCCTACTTAAGAGAATGACATAAACCTTACTACATGTTGCAGTCAGGACACACAACCAGCCTTGCGCTTTTCTCTGATTCATAACTGATTGACCATTCACATAACAATAGAAGGCCATTTATCATCCCTGCTTACATTCAGAAATGGCTGACAAGTTACTGAGTCATCATGCGTCTGAATATTCCTCTGGCCTGAATTATATCTAAGAAGACACTGATCTTGTGAGGATGTAATTTGCTGTCTTTACATGGGCCAATTATGTGCATGTTAGCTCCCTAATGCCCACGCATTGTACAGTCACACAGAGACATAGAGACATTTAGTTCTCAATTTGCATGTTTAAGCAGGTGCCCTTGGGCTATGAGCTAAGTCAGTAGCCCTGGTGCCTAATTATGCAAATCCTTTGATTCTCAAGGTAGCCATAGATAGGCCAATATTAGAAAAATTCTGTGTACAGCAACAAATGAGTTTGATGATCGGAAGCATTCAATATTACCCTCAGGGAAGTCCTACGCAGTTCGATTCTCATCCAATCATTTTAGGAGTTTAGAGTTTCTGGCTGTGAAGTGGCTGTCTATGTCTACCCCAAGTAGCACAATGAACTGTAGTATTTCTAAATGTGAGACAGTAAAGGAGTGTTTTGAGTGACGTTTCCAATTTAGTTCCTAAGTTGCTCTGCAAAGTGTGCCTAGTTCTCCTAAGCATGTGTAAGCATGCTCAACTGTTAGTTTAGACACACTGCCTTGCTTGTCTTTTCAAGCACCTCAAGGCATTGCTTGGCATGCAGATATGTCTAGCCTATTATCAGCATACTTTATCTCAGTATAAAATGTACCAAGACTTGTGAGTTTGGGAGACTTACTTATTGAAAGAATAAATCAAAATGTCACCTTTATGTTGGCTTAAGTGCCTTTATAAAAAGAAATAACTGCCAAAGTTGATATTTGACACAATACCAGCAAAGTTTTGATTTTTTTACTAGCACTATTCTTGAACCATCTTCAAAGAACAACAGTAAATCTTTTTTTTTTTTTTTACATTCAGATGAAGTTCCAAAGCTCGCCAATGATCTATCACAGTTGTTTCTACTTTATTCATTGCCAGACGACACTCAGATTGTACAAAACTTGTTTGTATCGTGCAACAATTTGACTATGTGTATATGCTTGATATCTGATCTAGTTTAACGTCAACCCTTTTCATGGTCTAGCACTGTAATAAGAAGTATTGTGAAATAACATGGCCTGCAATAAAATTCACACCATATATCGGCTCGAAAAAGTATCTCTGCATGGCTGTGTGGTCAGCAATTATTGTCTAAGAGGCCATCTAAGAGTATGAAATGAGTGGTGTGCAGACATTTGAACAAATGCTACCCTTACAACCGTTATCTGCTGGTCAAATAGCCTGTGTACTTATAAACCAGAAGAGGATTTAGGCCCCATTCACACTGAGCGATTTGTCGCGCGGTAATTCCCGCGATATTGCGGCTATTTATCGTGCGATATCGCTCTCCAATGCATGGCAATGGGGCTCTGTCCGTCGCTGTCGCGGGTCGTGTGTCGCGGGTCGTGTGTCGCTACAGCAGGACCCTTTTTGGAGTGGATTTTGCCGCGATTCTAGCTTGCTCAATGCAAACATTTGCGCAAAATGCAAATCGCGCGTCAAACTCGCAATTTGCGACTCGCTCAGTGTGAATGGGGCCTTATACATACATAATGCTTAGATGCTGACAGCCAAAAATAAAATTTTCAATAAGTATAAAGCTTAGGTCTGTTATTTTCTTTTATGCATTCATCAGAAATTTAGAAACTCTGTTTTGAATGTGTATGATTGTCTTTAGGAAGAATCCCAACTATGACAGAATTTGTCAGTAAATCTAAGGTTCCCATGAACATAAGTTGGTTGTCACCACATCATCTTGATGGATATTTTTTACTTCACAAGCCCTCATTCTTATGGCAGAGAATTATGGCTTACCTTAAAGAGTATGTCAGAGCAAAATAATGCCAATAAATGCAGTACTTCTCTGTAATACATGCACATTTATCATGTTTTATTCATTTACAGTCCCTTCAAACACAAAAAAGAACCAATTGAGCTGCCAGAAATGCACTCACTTCCTAAGATCTGTTGTGGGCTCACAACCCACAGCATTTTGTGGCCTGAGTGGTGTCAGCCTTGCTAAGGTGTCTTTTGATAAACTACCCAAACCCTCCTACTGTCCTCCTCTCTACAACACTAATTCTGCAGTCCAAGATAAAAATTAGAAAGGCTTATTAGACTTCTTAAGATAACACAGAAAGTATGTACACATTTATGACATGATCCACGGTTGTTTTTTGACGCTTATCGATCAGATATAACAAAACACTTTCAAAAATATATTTACCAGACCAAAATATAGCAAATAAGAAAAGTTCAATGTTAGGGTTCTCGCTGAATACTGAAAAATGGCCTGTATGGGAAGGGGGTTTAACACCGCGGATGTCAACTGGTTAAGAGTAGAAACTATGAATGAATGTTGTGAAAAGAATACCCAATCTCGTGCAAGGAAAAAATAATAAACAGTATTTTGATTGGATGATGGAAGTCAGCAGAGCTTACCCTCTTTCACTAAGCTAAGGGAAATTCCATTGCAAAGTGAGCAGCCTATTTGCCTTTAGGAAATCAACCCCTTTATCCAAGTTATCCCTGACACTCACACAATGAAACTGCAAGAATTAGACTACTGGAAATTATTAGAAATCATCTGCTCTTTAGCAATTATTAAAAGCTCTTCCTGACACTGTGCTATATGTGTAACAAGAAAAAAATGCTGTAGCAGCTTGCTGAAAAAATGTGCCCTGTAGCAGTTTCTGTAGACAATATGAAGCAGTATGGTCTTATTAACATTTTCTTACATATTTGGATGGAAGCCAGAAATGAACATTACCTATTTTTAGTAAATCCTAATGATAAAGACAAGGTCTCTAGGGCAGATACATAATGAACACATGAGCAGTTTTAAATATAACAGAAAAGATTTTCCTTACTTAAAACAATCTGAAGGGAATTGATCAAAACTTAAGAAGACAAAATCTGGAGCAGCTGTGCATGGCAACCAATCAGCTTATTTCTTTCGTTTTCAAAGCCTAACTTAACAAACAAAAGAGAGAAGCTCCAGTTTTGATAAATTCCCCCCTCTGTGTTTTGTGTGTGCTGGGCAAAGCAACAGGTTCACAGACCTCCTTTGACACGTATACTTCCCTAATTTTGCTCCTTCCAGGCATTCCATTCAGCCCTGTATAAGCTAAGGGACGCCGTAGCCATATATTACAGAGGGCTAAGGACCTGTGAGAGTGCTAATTGGCTTAGCGCTGTTGCATACGGTGTCATGCGCTCCTCTGTACATAGTAGTAATGGGCATTTCCTTTGGCTCTCCGCAATAAAATGAGCAGCAGCTAAGTGATGAAAAAGTTAGCATAGGCTGCTGGGGACGGGTGGTGGTGGTGGTGGGGTGGTAAATCCAACCTGTTGCTTTGCTTTAAATAGGATCCAGAAGGGGACCAGCGTCCCTTAATTTCTTTACTTATATATTATGAGTTTTTAGCCATTTGGCTCAATACATTCTTCCTGGCCCTGTATCTGGGTGGTTCAGCAGGCATGTGTGCTAAGCTCCCCATTTTGCTGCTTGTATATATGTGGTTCCATTGTATTATCATGACATTGGTACACAATACCGGTACATTGTGGGTGCCTGTCAGTTGGTTGCTGGGAAACCCATGCTGCATTATGCCTACTGAAATGCCTAGTGAAAATCTAAAAACTGCTCATTAAGATTTGGGCTATCGGGGCACAGTAGAAGCACCTTTGACTTAGCACTGTCTGTAGGCATCGGATGGTGCCTACTATTAACACATAAAAGTACTTTAATATGCTGGTTTTTCATTCAGGTTTGCTATAATGTATTCAATATTGTGAATACTAAACATTCATTGAGGTAAGCCAGTTTGGGTGATAAATTTAACTGTGATGTCCAAATTCACTTTCAAATCTATCATAACTCTGGGCATATGTTTTGTGTAAAAAGGAAAAAAATGTGCACATAGGCAATGTAAAAACCAGATGCCTATGATATTTTAAGGATTAGTTGCGCAGTGGGTCAATAGAACCTCATAATACATTTCTAGGATCCCAAATTGTTAGATGATATATTTCACGGGTTCTTTTGAGAATGACTTGGGAGGTTCCAAAGCAAGATGATGGAAAATCCTTCTACCCAGTAAACTGTAATGAATGGCATAGGTTGCGTGGTTCATACCTGCACTGATTAGCTGCTCACAAACGTATCCAATGTTAATACCATGTTTATTGTTGTCCGTTTCTTTTCCACCACAGAGGAGGTTACAACGCTTCTCTCTGACACCCACCTCACCACTTGCCCCCTGGACCCTGTTCCCTCACCACGACTTCATTCACCCTCTTACTCTATCCTACACTCTCTTACTTACATTTTCAATCTCTCACTCTCTACTGGCATCTTTCCCTCCCCTCTAAAGCATGCCCTGGTCACCCCAATACCCAAAAAACCCTCAATTGGCCCTACCGACCTCAACAATCTCAGACCAATTTCCTTACTCCTATTCACCTTTAAACTAATAGAAAGCCTTATCTACAGCCACCTGAGCCACCTCGCTGATAACAACCTTCTCGATCCATTACAGTCTGGCTTTCACCCCCTACACTCCACTGAAACCACCCTCCTAAAACTCACTAATGACTTGCTAACAGCTAAAACAATTGTTTTTGCCCTTGAGATTGTTAACACAACTATCCAGCCCTCCCCCCATGCCAAGTGCCTAGGTGTCATCCTTGACTCGGACCTTACCTTCCTTCCCCACATCCAATCACTATCCAAATGCTGCTGCCTTCACCTTCGTAACATCTCCAAAATACGCCCCTTCCTCACCAATGAAACAGCAAATGTCCATATTCACTTTCAAATCTATCATAACTCTGGGCATATGTTTTGTGTAAAAAGGAAAAAAATGTGCACATAGGCAATGTAAAAACCAGATGCCTATGATATTTTAAGGATTAGTTGCGCAGTGGGTCAATAGACCCTCATAATACATTTCTAGGATCCCAAATGTTAGATGGTATATTTCACGGGTTCTATTGAGAAAGACTTGGGAGGTTCCAAGGGACCGATGTGACCCTGGTAATTTTGCCTGCGCTTAGTTTGGGGCATTTTCACAAGTACGTGTGAAAAAACCCAGTATTGGCACTGGTGCATCCCAACTTACTAATATAATGTATTGCTTGGACTTGTAGTCCTGCATAGCTGGTGGTATTCTGCATAGCTGGTGGTATTCTAACACACAATGCCACTCATAACCTAGAAATATGCAGGACTCGGTCTGAGTCCTGTATATTTCTAGGTTACAAGGTATGAGTAAGATGTGGTGCTGTTAAAATAATTCTCGTGTCATAATTTTGTTATTTAATAAAATATATTTTTATATAATTGGTCTGAAGTAACCTCTTGCCTGGGCTGCATATACTCTATATGCAGACTGTTTTTTTCGTACAATAGCAGCCAGAGGACTGACAGGTGAATGCGGAAGAGATGTAATACACATCCTTCTGCGTTCAGATGTCGGAGGGAGATCAGCAAGGAGGAAGATGCTGAACTCCCTCCCATTTTCCTCATGACACCCTCCCGAGCCGGTCCCGGGCCGCAGATGGGGAAGCGGAGCCTGGGATTGAAGGTGAGGGTGCAGGAGGGTGGGCGGCGGTGGGACGGCGGTACCGCGGGAGGGGGGGGTGGCACGCAAGGTCAGCACATACAATCGATTGGACGGCTATAGAGCTGCCGATCGCTTGTATGTGTAACATGTTTACATTTAACTGTATTTTTTCTGCCCGTGCGCGCGAGCAGGAAAAAAAAGCTGTTTAATTACGGCAACTCCGCCAATAGGCATTTGCCGTCCGTCCAGATCTTACAACGAGCTGGCAAGCAGTTAAACACATGTAAAAAAGTGCAAAATGCACAAAACTGAAGTCTATGGGGATAAGAAGTACAACATCAGTACAATCTGTGAATGAAGGCTAAAAGACAATTTCCCTTATGGGCTAGTTAACACCAGCCCCAGTGCGTTCCGGCGCGCATCCCGGCCGGCTCACTGCATACTGGGGCGGGAGGGGGCATGGCGGTGCATTGATGTCAATGGCACCTCAGCCACTTCACACGTTACAGACAAGTAACATCCCCGGCATCCCTCTAGCTGTAGAGGCTCCTGACTCCTCCCCATCCCTCACACAGTAAGAGAGCTAGAGCAGATACATAACGTGCTGTCTCTGCTACATGGTAGCAGAGGAGGCAGGCACACAGAACTGAACGGCCGTGCCCACAGCACCCCCGCGATTGGATAAAAGAGCAGCAGAGACTCAGTGACGGGCCCGAATGGTCAGTCCACCCCTGCACCTAACCAACCGCTCAGTGTCTGCAACCCCCCTCTGTCAATCCCTACACTGGCTTCCAATAGCCCAAAGTATAAAATTCAAAATATTAACAACCACTTACAAAGCTATCCACAACTCTGCCCCTGGCTATATCTCAAACCTGGTCTCAAAGTATCACCCTAACCTCCCCTCCACTCTTCAAAAGACCTTCTGCTTGCCAGCTCCCTCATCAACTCCCATGCTCGCCTCCAAGATTTCACTAGAGTCTCTCCCATCCTATGAAACTCTCTACCCCAACCTGTCCGTCTATCTCCCACTCTGACTGCCTTACGGTGATCCCTTAAGACTCATCTCTTCAGGGAAGTCTATCCCACCTCAACCTAACCACTGAACTATCACTTTCTCAAACAATTCATCCCCACACAGCTACTTCCTCATGTATCAATTGCCACTCCCTTTTAGATTGTAAGCCCTCACGGGCAGGGCCCTCTTTACCATCTTGTCTTGAATTGTATTGTGATTGTAATGTCTTTCTTATATTGTAAAGGACTGCGCAAACTGTTGGTGCTATATAAATCCTGTATAATAATAATAATTGCAAGGTGGCCCGTGGTCAGTACAGCTTACTGAGTAAAGGTGCTTTCAAAATCTGATGAAAGAAGACAAAACTTTTTCATTTTCACAAGCAGAGGCAGGCCTGGGTCTTCAGCATTGTGATCTAGTCACCAAACATAGAATATATAAACTACAAGCATTTCTGTGGAAGATATAGGACTGAAATAGCACTTTCAGGTAGCCTTGGCATTAGGTATTTACCAGATGGGCTAATTTATGAGCAAGTAAATATTCAGCAACCATTTTAGGTATGTTATATAAAAGTAATTGTGCCCTAAACCTGAAGTTTTTTGCCAGTTTTCTTCATTCGGAAAGTCATCCTTTTTAACATTTAGTTGACAGTATGAAAGGACCTTGTTGTCAGCTCTCTATTATTTTGCTCATACTGCAATATCTCTGTGATTCCACGTTCTTTTTGTGTGTTTGGTAATATTTGTTTTATTACCAAATTGCATCAGAACACACTATACCTGACACACCAAAAATACAGGGAAAATCCATCATGTCAAAGCTGATATGTTGGCTTTGTCCCAACAGGGAGAGGGTCCAAAATATGCTTAGGCTTCTCAAAGGAGTCTGAAAGTACAGATCCCACCATTAAACATTGCAGGGTGTAAAAGGATTCTCAATAGCTGGTGAATGTAATTATTCCAATGAATGCAAGCTTTAAAGGCATCATTTTGTCATGAATGCACTATCTGCCAATATTTTATCAAGGTCAGTCTCGTGTGTGTTTGCCAAAGGTGCACTTTCTCTTTCTATGGGGATGAGTTATGAACTGTAGCGCACGTCATTTTGTAAAAGTGGTATTAAAAAAATATTGCAAATTCTATAGCTTGATGTTTGACGTAATGACGAGTTCAGTAAGCCAGCACAAGACATACATCTTTTAGTAGTGATTTGCAACAGGGTGTAAGGTAAAAAAAAAATAATGCTCTCCATACGCTGTTAGCTCTTTAATCACGTATGAGCGAGGATCTAACATTTACCTTCTGTTACTCAGTTCAAGAGCTTTTAAATAGATTTATACATATGTTTAACATTTTCCTCAACTCATGTCAAGGGCAGGGCACTGCTGAAACTGTAACCTGGATAGCCAACCATATTGTACCAAAACTAAGGTGGTGACTGTAGTTTTTTTGTAGAAACACTGTACAGAGCTTTGTCAAGGAGATGGACATTGTACTCAATTTTTAGGGGCATCTGGAGTACAGCAAAACCACGCATTTCATCCCATATTCATCTTGGTTCAGTACACTCTTTTAAGGTCAAGCCATGCCCAGGGTTAAAACTCTATTTTGTCTAAGAGTATCTGTGTTTTTAGAATAATAAACTATCTGTCTGTCAAGACAAAAATAATGCCCAAATTGCCTGCAGTGCACATAGACATGCTCTTTCAGAATAACTCCGGGCAAAAAAAAATCTTAACCCTTGCAGTGGGGCTACCCCCCACAATGCAAGGGTTAACTGCTCATTTTCATCTAGGGTCTATGATAACCAAGAAATACTCACCTAAACCTCGGTCCTGCCTAGTTGCTAGAACGTTCCCTGAAGCCTCTTCCCCCCTCCGCTCCGGCACTCTAAAAACCCATGAGCCATCATGTCCAATACAGTGTATTGGACGTGAGGACCCCACGTCCAATGCAGGGACCAGTCTAGCAGCAGAGGTTCGGGTGAGTAGATCTTTGTTATTTTAGAGCCTAGACGAAAATGAGCACTTAACACTCGCAGTGTTAAGTGCTGCAAGGGTTAAGATTTCTTCTACCCAGAGTTCTTCTTTAAAGGGTATGAACATAAATGATTATGTGTCTGACGTGTATTGTGTACATTGTTACAATGTTTTCTGACCCCTAACTATTGCCTGTTGTTCAATAATCTGGTTTTTCATAATTTTTTGTGTGAGGCTTTTGGGGCCAAATATTTTTTAAATACATACAGTATCTGTACTTCCTTTTCTGCAATGTAAAACCTATGTTTAACCCTTAGCATGAACCTGACAATTAACCAACCTTTGGCTTATACCTTCACACTTATTGAAGTCAGAAAAAAACAATCCTTAGAATTAAAGGGTTAACAGCACTCTCTCAACCCTGCAGCAGTGCCTGTTTACTCAGAGTAAACCTTTCAGGGAGAAAATGCCTCTCTCGCAGACGTCAGGGAGCCGCTATCCAATAGCGGAAGACTCCCTGAACATCAGGGAGACTTGAGATCCCTGAGAAAGTGACTGTGTCACATTACCAGCTAATAAAAAGAAAGTTGTTGGCAAGAAAAGGGCAAGGAATGGAATACGTACAAATATTTACCTTATTCCTTGCTTAGACGGCACTCTCCTCCACTCCAGAATGTGGATGGGCCCTCACAGTCCTCACCAGTGCCGGCCCTGCACTGTAGGTGATAACGTCAGAAAGCTGCAAGTGGCCAGGCAGCAAGGGGAATCGGCTTCGGAGGACCAGTTGCACAAAGAGGAGAAAGCCTGGGGGAATGAGGAATAAGGGAAGTATTTGTAGTCATTCCTTTCCCCCCTTGCCATACAAGCATTTAACCCATACAGTGTGTGTGATTACAGCAATGCAGAGTTGAGCTTTAACTTCCTCTATAACACTAAAACAGCTGACACATTACTGCTTAACAGCTTACCTAAATCCAATGCTCCCCCCAACCTAAACCCAATCCTTTACCCCCTAACCTAACCATTAGGGCTTAACCCTTTACGTAAAGTGGTTTCAACCTCTCTGGAGCTTTTGCCATTACACTGAGTGGACAGATTATTATGACCACCTGACGTTTGTAGGCAAATTAGCTATAATTTCGCGCTGAAGTTGCTAGAGGGCCAGACCATTATAAATAGGGAAGCAGGTTGTTTACCACGACAGTAGAAGTGATTTTTTTCTGAAGATATGGGTAAACAACGCGATTTAACAGCCTTTGAACGTGGGATGATTGTTGGCGCTCGGAGCCATGGAGCGAGTATCAGCAAAACAGCAGAATTCGTTAAATGTTCAAGAGCAGCTGTTGTTAAAGTGTTTAAAGACTGGACTGTCAGCCGAAAATCTGGGTCTGAACGTGCAAATTGTGGCCGTCAGCGACTAGTCAATGTTAGGGCAGAACGGAGAGTGGCAAGACTGGTACAAGACAACAGAAGGGCAACAGTGCATCAAATTACTGCAGATCTTAATCAGGGATCCTCTCAAATGATCTCTGAACGCACTGTTCGCCGTACACTGCATCGTATGGGATATGGAATCCAAAGGCCTGTTCCAACACCTTTGCTGTCTGCAGTTAACAAGATAAAACGTCTCCAATTCGCACAGGAACACAAGGATTGGACAGTCGAGCATTGGAAAAAAGTAATGTGGTCCGATGAATCACAATTCTAGTTACATCATGCAGATGGCAGAGTGAGAATTTGGCAGGAACAGCATGAAAACATGCACCCCACATGCATGAGTACATCTATTCAAGCTGGTGGGGGCAGTGTTATGGTTTTAGGGCATGTTTTCCTGGCATGATTTTGGCCCTTTAATTCGTGTGGAACAACGTCTGAATAGCACAACATACCAAAGTATCGTTGCTGATCAAGGTTATCCTATCATGTTGATGGCGTATCCCAATGGAGATGGCTTCTTCCAACAAGACAATGCGCCATGCCACGGTGCTCGTATTGTGCAGGAGTGGTTTCAAGAACATGAGGGAGACTTTACCTTGCTTAGGTGGCCCCCACAATCACCAGATCTCAATCCATTTGAGCATTTGCCATCAGGCAGTTGGTTCCACAACCATCAAATCTCACAGAACTGGACAGTGCTATTCCTCAGGCATGGTGTCAGATTCCACGCATCACCTTTCAACATCTCGTGGAGTCAATGCCAAGAAGAATCGCCGCAGTATTGAAGGCAAAAAGTGGCCCAACGATGTACTGATGGGGTGGTCATAATGATCTGGCCACTCAGTGTATCTGCAAATGTACACAGTCCCTTTACCAAGACATTACAGTGCCAATAGTAAATGATTTGTCATAGGTAGTGGGTAATGAAATAGCAGAGTTTATCTATCCTTTAAAAGTAAAGTAAAGCTGGCCATACACTGCTTAAATGTTTGAAACAACTTTCGTACGAAAGATCTTTTGTTCAACTTTTTATTAGGTGATGATTGATTTCAACTGTAGTGATGAAAAAATGAAAATACTTTAAAATATTTTATCAAATATACTGTATGTGTTTGTTTTTGGTTGACTATATCCTGGTAATTTTTTTGTTATTTAATTGCTTAGAAATACCTGCCAGTTCACCTTCTGCCTGTCTTCACTCTAACCATGCCAAGCACAGAAGCAGATCTGTGTTGGCTACGTCGGTTTGTGCATCTGTGTTGCTCTTTGGAGATACAGGACACCACGTGCATACATGGCATGCCTGTGTCTCCTGTAGTCAGTTCAGCACCATACTGCTGATGCGGAACTAAACATGATGAGCTGAGCTAAACAGCGATGGTTGAATCTCCGGCTGGCTTGGGCAGGTGTGCCGCTGTCGGAATACCCAAACCCGTTCGCCTGAAAATTTTCCAACTGGCTTCTTCAATTTTCTGATCAACGGATGTCGGATTGAAAGCTGCCGACAGGGGCATCCACTGTGCGAATTCTTCATGAACCAGCTGAAATTCGCAAGGTGTATGGCCAGCTTAAAGTGCCTCTAAACTCTGGAGTTAAATTTTAAAAATGCATTCAAGTACCCTAACTATTAATAAAAATCGTATTTGTGTATCACTCGGCTGTAGATCCTTAAATCATCTCTGAATTGGTGCTGACACTGTCCTTCCTTCTGGAGAGTGGCTACTTTTGTTTTCCATGGTCTCTGTGTGTTGTAAAGTAGACACCGCTCCAAGCACGCTCCTGTGATGGACTACAGTCTTATGTTTAGTTTACTAATTTGTATTGAGATTGTAAGTCCATCATGGCAGCGAGCTTGGAGCGGTGTCTACTTTACAACACACAAAGGGACCATGGGGACCAAAAGTAGCCACCCTCCAGAAGGAAGGACAGTGTAAGCACCAATGCAGAGATGATCTACAGCCGAGTGATACACAAATAAGATACATTTGTGTTAATAGATAATATACTTGAATGCATTTTTAAGATTTAACTCCTGAGTTTGGTATCACTTTAAGTCTTTAACTCTTTATTAGACAGACTGTGTTCACATCTAGTGTAGAACTGATAATAAGATCTGCCAGCACAGTACAGACAGGGTTAATTAGAAAAAACATAACTTGTCACAGCCCCCTCCTTAACATTACATAGGGGGGAGGCTAGGAAAGGAATTTTAAGTAAAAATCACTTCAAAAATATATTTTAAAAATGCTGCTTACATTTTGAAATGATGCAATGTGAATGAGAATGTAACAAATATAAAGTAGATGTTAACAGTAGAAATAGTA